GTCTTGTTGCCGCAGCTCGCATTGACCGCGGCTGCGAACGCGCCAATGTTGATGGCGCCCACCGAGCAGTTGGGGATGGACGAGAGCGCTGGTGGCAGTGGCACGCACGCGGGCGACGCGCAAATGGCTTCAATGTTGGCGGCGGTGGGTTCCTTTGATGGTGGCAGAAACGTGTAGCTGCTCTCGTTCTGACACGCCGTCGCGGCGCCGAGGACACTGCCAAACGACGTCACGAGCTTGTTGAGGTCGCACGGCGTATCGCCGCGTACGGCTGCGGCCATCAGTGAAGCCACCACAAATTGGCTCGCCGAGGTCTTCATGCTACAATTTGCACTATGCCGGCCCAGGAGCTCCGAGCGTCGGAGAACTGGAAGTCGTTGCCAATCACTCCGTCCAACGGTGGAGGTCCGCAACGGTCGGAGAACACACTAAAGCGATCGCATAACTTCATCGTTGGCGTTGCATTCCGGTTCCTTTATACTGGGATCCATGCATGCGTCGCCGCTGGGTCTCTGTGCGATGCAGTAACACGTTTACGCCGAGATGCCAATGACACCAAAGGCCTTGATCGGGCCGGCGTTGCCGTTCTGGAGGCTGAGTTCGTGGCCGCCCTTGCCAAGGTCGTCTTCGTTTTCGTGGATCACGAGCGAGCGGCCAATGACAGAGTGCGGGCCGATGAGCTTGAGGAGCGCGTCTTCAACGTGCACCTTGGCGTTGCCTTCGTCGTCGACCTAGATGCATTGTTCATACCATGCACCATGTACATGGCCATGTACCTGGATGTTGCCGAGCGAGCCGACGCGGCGCTCTTCGTCCTCCGGGGCGCCATGGGCCTTGCCGAAGGGGTTGAAGACGCCGCCCGTGGACGCGCCGCCGTTGGAGACGTCGCCAAAGACGTTGATGTGGAGCGCGTGCTTGCCGGCCGAGAGGCCCTTGAGGTTGCCGACGATGAGCGTCTTGGCATCTTCGTTCGACTGGCTCAGGACGAGCGAGCCATACACGCGGGCGTCGTCGCCGTACAAGGTCACCACCGCCTTCGCCATCTTGGTCGGTCAATAAGAAATGACAGTATATATTCCACAACCGGATTTCATTTAAATAGTGTGCAAATATTTAGTGTGGCGACAGTGCACCAACACCCGCGTTGTGTCCTTCTCTGCTCTGCTGTGTTCCGACGCTTCGACAAGATGCCTTGTTTGCGACACGAGACGAGAGGCGGCGTGGACTCCACGACGCTCGCTGTCACAGTTGCTCGACGATCTCGTTTCGAACACTATATTCACCCCACGTGCTCGATTGAAACACTATATCATGGTATATCTACGGCTCCCAAACCAATCAAGTTTGTTGGTGCAAAACAATAGATGTTATTTAATGCCCAAAAATATCTGTATGACTTGCATTTGTATGCTTTAACAGCTCCATCAACATAAATATTTCCCACATTTTATTGCATCATGGAGCTCAGCACTCAAAATGCATTGCGATCTTCGAGCAGTCGCGTAAGATCTAAATGGGCACGACGCGGGTTGCCTCCTCGAACGCCAGCGCACGCCCATGCTTGCCGACGAACCCTAGGCTCGCCAAGGTCGCACGCTGGTCGTTGGTCAAGCCGTCGAGGCCACGCCGTAGCTTGTCGACGACGCCGCCCAGCTTCATGTGCCACAGCTGCGGCGGCCAGTTGAGGTCTTGGTCTGGCACGACAAACGATTTTGGGACGCGGACATGGCCTGTGAGTGCTTTGTAGGTCTGCAAGGCCAGTACCTTGTCCGACCACTCGATGTACGGACTGCGCGTCGCGTCGTAGACAAAGCCGAGGGCGTCGAGCTGCGCGCGCTGCGCCGGCGTCAGTCGGCCCTGGCGTTGGCGCCACTTGTGCACCACGTTTCCGAGGTGGAGACCATGCACGCTCGAGGGCCATAGACTTGCATCTGGTTCGTTCTGTGCGGGGACGACAAATCGGTATGGTACCTCGGTATGCTCAAAGAGGCGATGGAAGGTTCGCAGCGCGACCAAGTGCGTCTCCATGTGGTGTTG